ACCTGTCCCAGCACACCTGTGGCCCAGCCCCTCCACAGAGTAACGGCAGGTGGGTGGGGGTCCGGCAGGTGCAGCTATATGAGACCTACCAGAACAGCCAGCGCTCCTACCTGGTGCTGGAGTTGGCAGCTCGAGGTGACCTGCTGGAGCACATCAACAACATGTCAGACCGCCGCTGCTGCCCGGGGCTGGAGGAGGAGGAGGCCCGGAGGCTGTTCTGGCAGCTGGTCAGTGCCGTGGCCCACTGCCATGGTGCGGGCATCGTGCACCGGTGAGGGTGTCACCCAGCCCGCCCACACCCCGGCCAGCATGGAGAGGCCCACGTGAGCCCAGGCCCAGAGGTGCCTCCCCTTCCCCATGCAGGGACCTCAAGTGTGAGAACATCCTGCTGGATGACCGAGGCTTCCTAAAGCTGACTGGTGAGCCCACGGCCCCAGCCCCAGCCTGCTCTACTTCTCAACTCCAGCTTTCAACCTCTGCTAGAGGCCCCATTCTGCTCTTGTCCCACCCAGATCTCTACCTTCAACCCTGACCTAGCCCAGACCTTCAGCCCTCCCAGAGGCCTACACCCCACCCCTACCCATGGCCCAAACCCACTGGCCTAACTCCCACGTATGCTCCTTGCCCAGTCCCCCTGCCCACAGCCACACTCACTGTCACCACACTCCATGGCCCCCACCCTCACTCACTGCACTGCCCTCCCTGCCGCCTTGAGCAGATTTTGGCTTCGCCAACCGCACAAGGCTCAAGGATGCGCTGCTCAGCACCTTCTGCGGCTCTATGGCCTACACGGCCCCGGAGATCCTCATGAGCAAGAAGTACAGCGGGCAGCAGGCCGACCTATGGAGCCTGTGAGTGCCGCCCCACCACAAGCCCAGCCCCGGCGCCACGACCCAAGGCGGGGAGGGCCGCACCCTGAGGAGTCTGTGTCCCCAGAGGTGTCATCCTCTACGCCATGGTGACCGGGAAGCTGCCCTTCAAGGAGTGCCAGCCCCGCCGCATGCTGCACCTGATGCGCCGTGGTCCCACCTTCCGACTGGGCCTGTCCCCAGGTGAGCACCACCACCCCTCGTCCCTCCGGAATCCCAGCTCAGGCCTGAAGAGTGGGCAGCACGAGAGATCTGGGTCTCAAGAAGCGTTATCCTGGACGGTGGAGAGAGCGGCGGGGAGACCCATCTGGCGTACTCCCCCGTCCAGGCTGGGAAACCTTCAGTCTGCGCACTGCAGTAATGAGCGATGGGGCACGTGGGCTGGGGGAGGACCTGGCTCATGCTGGAAGTCAGGAGAGTGATGGCTCTGTTGAGGTCGAACCTGAGCTCTGCATTAGCCCAGGGCAGGCTGCCTTGCCTGTCTGTCTGTCTCCACATCAGTGGCATGCACACAGCCTCCAACTGTTGCAAGGCCTGTAATAGGATGATCCTTCCAAGCTGCCAGTATTGTTGGTGGTGACAGCCATGGGCTAGGGGCACTGGAGAGAGGCAGGGGGATGGCAGGAGGCTGCAGCTGTGGACCCTCACCCGCAGAGTGCCAAGACCTGATCCGGGGGCTGCTCCAGCTGCGCCCGCGCACGCGCCTGGGCCTACAGCAAGTGGCCGTGCACTGCTGGATGCTGCCTGCAGCACATGTGCTCTTCCACACTGTGCTCAGTGCCACACCAGGTGGGGTGCGCCCCGCGGAGCCCTGGGGTGAGTGGCAGGCGGTCAGTCCTGCACTCCACCCAACCCCCACCATGGTCTATTGCAGAGAAGTGGGCAGACTCCCAACTCCCAGCATCTCCAGATCATGCAGAACCCAGTGCGGACTTGGAGTCCCCAAGGCCGATCCTGCAGCTACAGTGCCCCCAGCGGCAGGGCACCACCAAGGGGAGGACCTTGGACACAGAGCTCAAGCCCCCAGAGGCCCACCACAAAAGGGAAGTGGGCTCTGTGGGGTCAGGGCTCTACACAGCAGCCGCCAGCGCGGGAACGGGTGCCTGCAGGCAGCTGCTGTCACTGTGTTGTGCATCTGCCATCAGGAATATGCCTGGGCATTACCTGATCAACCGAGAACAAGTGGGCAGGAAGGGCCAAGTCAGATAAAGCACTTATTCTGTGGAAATGAAGATGCAGATGTCTCAGTGCCAGGGAGAGGGCAGATGGCCTCCAGGTAACTTGCTAGACTGAGGCTCTGCCACTGTCGTGTGGGGCTCTGGGTCAGGGGAAAACACCAGTCCACACATCACACTTGCCTGGAGCATCAGAGCTTTAATGGGGGTGGGTTAGAGGGGACCACGGAGAAGGGAGATGCCTGGCACCCAATGAAACACTCAGCCATGGCAGTGAGCACAAGGGGGAAGGGACCTTCAGCTTCAGGGCTCTGCATGGGGCACTGTGAACAGGAAGCCATACAGCTCCTTCATCAGAGTGTAGGGCCTGGGAGGGCCCATCGGTGAGGGGAGGGACCAGCACCAGGAGCCCAGCGCAGAAGGTGGCAGTGAGGTCTGATGAGAGCTCAGGAAAGGGAAGACAGTAGGTGAGAGCTGCCATGGCAGCTGCAGGATGGGGGTGGTAGGGGGTGAACACGGAGCCAGGAAAAAGCAGATAAGCCTCCTGGGCCCACGGTGGGCTCCAACGGGCAGGGCGCAAGGCTGCAGGCACAACCAGGAGCCTCTCTGCAGAGGTAGGCAAGGGGCGCCAGGAGCAGGAGTGTCTGAGTGTCCTGAAGAACAGCCAAGGCCCAAGGAGGCGACCTAGCTCAAGGGACTGGTGAGAGTGCCAGTTCGACCCAGAACTGGGAACCAGGAGCACACAGGGAGCTGATGAGGGGTGAGGGCAGGACCCTGGGCACAGGCCAAGCAGGAGGGGGCAGAGAACACAAGGGAAGCAGTGCCCAGTAAGTGCTCAAGGATGGGCCAGGGGGGCAGGCCTAGGAGAACCCTAGGACCAGGGTGTGGCTGGGTTAGCCCTTTGAGGCCCAGTCTCCAGCAGGGTGAGCAGCGGTGCCTGGGGTTGATAGTAGGGGGCACTGCTTGCACCTAGGTTGACTGTGCCCAGACCCTGCAGTGCCCTTAGGATCAGAAAGCTCCAACCAGCATCTCAGGGCTTGCAATGTTTTTCTGTCCAGCACTACCACTGGGCATGGGAAGAGGCTCCTCAGGGTCCCTCTGGCCACCCGCCTGTGATCTCCACCTCATGTGGAGGCAGCTGAGTCACAGGGCCTGGCCAGCTCTGGCTTGATGGTGCTGCTCTGAGCAACCTGAGTTCTTGCTGGTAGCAACAGGGCTCAGGGCTGGGAGGTGCCCTCAACCCTCCAGTGTTTATTGGGCATCCACGGTGGAACTGCCAGCACAGACTGGGCCTAAGTGTAAGCTTCTGTGTGCTGCTTCTCAGCAGGAACTGTGGGCAGCTGCAGGCAGGACTGGTCCAGGAAGTGTGCAAGGTGGGCCTGGAGCTGGTGCTGAGCTGCAGGGCCTCAGGTGGTGTGGCCCTGCCCCGCCGGCTCTAGCGCCAGCTCCTGTTGCTCTCGCTCCAACTGCTCCTGCTCCTGGTGGTCCAGCTGCTGCAGCTGCTGTTCCACATCCTTGGGCACCTGCACCTCCAGCAGGTTTTCCATGCCAGGCTCTGGCTCGTCCCCAATAAGCACCTGCCAACAGGAAAGGCAGGTGAGCAGCCAGCCAGCCATGGGTAACCCGCCCTCAGCCTTTCCAACCCTGAGCCCACCTGGATGAGCTTCTCACAAGTCACCCGCACGTCAGGCTCTGGCTCCCAGCTGTGCAGCTCACGAAGGATCAGGTAGGCGCCCTGGTCCCGTACTTGCTGCCGACCAGGCGCTGTGGCTGTCAGCTGGGGAGAAGGATGAGTTACACAGATGTCAGTGTGCTTGTGTGCGTGTGTCAGCGGTGGCACAAACGTAGCTGGATCCTTGCTTACCAGCATGATGGCTTCAATAAGCATCTTACGGATGTCAGCATCAGGCTCTCGCTGCTTGCCTGGGGGCAGGTACTGCAGGTCAACGGGCAGCCCTAGGGGTGAGTGGGGAAGCCAACGGGTGCCTGGGCTGGGAGGCTGGGCCAGGCTCTGTTGTAAGCCCCACCTGTGCTCACCAACTCCGTGCTGGAAGTTTCAGAAGGGGCCCGAGGCCTGGCCACCTCTTTCTCCCTCTCCCCCTACCAGCCTTCCACCTACCCGCCAACCCCGAGGCTCCACCCAAGCCACTCACGTTCCATCTCTTCCTCAGAGAAATCCTCAGGCCCAGCCAGGGGAAGTAGCAAGAAGGGGAGAATGTCCACCTCAGGCCCAAGCAACCACTCGTGGTGTCCTGGGGGAAGGAGGGGTGACAGAGACGGGAACCGGTCTAGAGAGGCCCGAGTCCAGTCTCCAACCCGGACACGCCCCAAGCCCTCTCCCCCCACGCCACTCACGGTGCTCGAAGCAGCAATTCCGCAGCGCCCCCACCACCCCGCCCCTGCGCACCGAGGAGTCTGTGTATTGGGTAAGGGGCAGCAGCCGCTGGACCACGCACCTGTCGGGAGGGGATCACTCAGTGCCGTCCCTGCTCCTCACTTCCGTCCCCTCCCCGCCCGCGCAGGCACCCCGGGCTTCACCTGTCGGGGTCCAGCAGGAAGTCACGCGCCGCAGGCCGCTGGCTCAGGTTGGAGAGCAGCGGCCCCAAGTAATGCAGGGGCGCGCGGGCGTTGTGGCCGGGCGTACACA